CTAGTATTGATCAAAACGGAATATTCCGCACAGAGTAAAATTTGTTTTGTAACGATTAACGGTCATTCTCTTGAAATCTTTTGAAATATCATGTTTTGCCTAATTATTAGTTACAAAATGGTATCATGATAGAACATGAGATATTGAAAGGTTTTCTATTAACATAACGGCTATAAATTCTTTACACAAAAATTCTAGTAGGTCATGTACCAATAGAGGTTGATGTAAATAATGATCATCATGCTAAGCAAATGTTTTAATGAAGTCGATGGAAACCGATGTAAGCATTCTGACGGCCGTAGTAATGTCGACCGTACTAGTAACTATTACGTAGTCATAGCCTGGTAAAAGTCGGTCTTTTGAGGAAGCTCAAACTTTATAGACCGTGGGTGTGTGATGTGCGTTTAGTTCTGGCGGAGGTCGGGGTCTGTTATGACCATAGTGTGTAGTCATCGAGAGGATGATACACACGGTGATCCCGTAGTGGATGCACCTGGATTGTGGAGCAATTGTGATTGCTGGTTGGCTTGTAAAGCCGTGGCCTAAGAGTGGTTTACAGAGGTGCTAGTAAATTTGAAAATTAGTTTTGATTGCTAAAGTGTTGAATGATGTTGGTACATGGCTCTGGATGACTAATGATTTTACTTAGATTAGAGATAGTTAAAGTGACTTGGAGTTTAAAAAAAAACAAAGGTGTTAGCGTTAAAGCTTTTCGTTAGAATAAAGATGATTCAGATTCAAAGTTAAGTTTATCTGGTCAGGATTGACCGAGTCGAGCAAGTATTTCGTTGATTATTTGGTTGCAGGCTAACACACGGCTAACACACGAGGTCGTGTGCACGCAGGATGGCCGTGTCGGAGACGGTCATCAATACGGTCGCTAAACGAAGCGCGGCATGACGCCTGAGTGATGGCAGCACCTTCGGTATTATCGCCAACACTCGGCGAGCTTCGTGCTACGACGGAGCCTAGCTAAAGGAGGGGTGTTAAGAGGGCTGGACACTTGCCTTCGAGCCGAGCCAAGCTTAGGACCGCTCCACTAGGAACTGTCTTGCGTTCCGTATTGTCTATACGTGGTAATAGTGAAGTGGTATATGGTTGTGTAGTGAAGTGCTGTTTAACTATGTACAAAGTGATTATTGTTAATTTGAAATACAACTGTGATTGCATCGACTTTCATTTGAACCAACACTTCCCATATAACGCCCACTGTATAATTCATGATAAAATAATGGAAAATAATAGAGAAAATTAATGCTGCTTCGATATATATATATATATATATATATATATATATATATATATATATATATATGAAAGTACAAAATATGTAAAATTGAATACGTTTTTTAACTCCATAATGTTTGTATGTATACACTATACTGTACACTACATTAATAACATAGAGATAGAAAAACAAAGTATAAAGAATGTGAGCAAAAGGTGGCCTTATCACTAATTATAATTAATTAGCGATTTCTTAAAGACCTTTGGGTTAGGAAATATGGAAGATTATACAGGTGGGTGGTGTAAACATAACCACAATACAACTTAATACTTAGACATATTACAGATATATACATCTATAGGTACATATAATAAAATTGTAACGAAGCCGAATCTATATATTAAATATTTTTTGGATAATCTTATTAAAATAGACATTATTATTGATACAGAGACCGAATCTATAGTTTTTAGAATTTTAGTCTGTCTGTCTGTTACCGCATCACGGAAAAACTACTGTAGGGTTTTTGATGAAATTTGGTACGTTGATAGCTGGTTATCCGGGTCAACATATAGGATACTTTTTACCCCTGGAAAATGTCTCATTTCTGAGAAAAAATACAAAAACTGCAATGTAAGAGTATACTAATATGTAAAACCTAAGAATTTGGTTTTGGTGGTGGAACCGCGGGAAATGCTAGTATAATAAATATCTATAAAAATATACTAATACATAAATATATAAAGTTGTCCTAAAAAAATAATGTTTTAAATAAGAATTATGAACAAATAGACAGACGTTTATAATATACATACAGTAACAGTTGCATGTGACCTGAATCCGTTATTAAACATTGTTGGTCATTATTTACGGATGTAACGGGGAAAGTGTTTTATTTTCAAATAAATAACGTTTTGTATTTTGAGAGCATAGCGAGAGTGCTTTCTATAAAAACGGTAATTATGATGTGTATTCATTACAATTATTTCACCCAAAAATTCAATTAATATTTAGATAATTGTTAAAAAGTAGTCACAGCTTCTAGTTTAATTTAAAATCGATTTCTTTATTCTTATAGAAATATGTTGGTTTCGACAATAATTAATAATTAATATAATAATTTATGCCGGCATATGCTTAATATGAACCAATTAAAATTATTTGTTTCTCTGATGTAGGCTTTTATTTAATAAAAGTATTATATGAAATGTATGTGTATGTAAGTAATTAAATATGCAAGCAAAAGAATTTTAAACGGCGATTTAATTAATTAATAAAATGTAATCTCACTTATAGAGATGAATTTTAAAAATTTTAAGTATATTTTATAGGTTTGATAGATAAGTAATTTGGTAACATCAATCTCATTTAAGTAGAAAGAGACAAATTCTCTAATATCTACTAGTACAAACAAAACATTTCAAATTGTCTTCCCATAATGCGATTTACGACTAAGTTGCGACTTAATACAAAATACCTATATGACGTATTCGTCTTTTGCATCTTGGCAAACGATCAGCGCTATCTTTTGGTATATTATTAACAATTATAGTCTATGTAGCGAGTACATATTATATACATAAATACACATAGTTATTTATATCGATCTAGCGACTCACCCTCGCTCCGCTCGGGTTTGTCCCTGGTTATGTTTCACCGGTTATTTAACGGTTAGCATAAATTTCTCAGAAATTAGATATTTTCCCGCAATAAAAAGTATCTTATATGTTGACCCGGATAACCAGCTATATCATACCAAATTTCATCAAAATCTGTCCAGGGCTTTTCTCGTAATGCGTTCCCAGACAGACAGTAAGACAAAAATTTTAAAAACTACAGATTCAGCCTCTGTATCGATAATAATGACTATTTCAATAAGATTTTCCAAAAAAATATTTAATGTACCTACAGATTCGAATGACTTAGAATTTTATTATATATATACAATATTATGTAAAGATAAGCCTCCTGTGAGAAATTTATAGCAATGTGGACAAATATAACAATGCCTTGCATTTAAGTTTTATTTAAAAATAGCAAAAAATTGCTATTATTGTTGATGTACGCACTTAATTCATATAAAATACTTAATAATGCAGGTTTTATTAATATTAAGAGTTTCTTTTATTAGGCTTATGTTTATCATAAGTATATCTATGCATTTTTTTCTAGTTTTAGTTATTTACTGATGTATTTATTTGTAAATAGGCAAAGATTGACGACACGTTTGGTTCAGTTTGTAGTGACCCTACTTGCTGTGCCAGCGGTCGTGCGTTTGAGTCCCTCTGGGGTATTCATTTGTGTGATGAGCACGAATGTTTGTACTCCAGTCATGAGTGGTTATATTTATGTATGTATTTAAAGTTATATATGTATAGTGTATCAACTATCTGGTATCCATAACTCAAGCCTCATAGCTTCCGATGGAACTGGATGGTTCTGTGTGTTAATGTCTTAACGTAAAAGACAAGATGAAACAGTTCATTACTTTTTTTCCTCTCTTTGTCAACGGTTCAAAACAATAACGATTATGGTAAAATTTTGACAACCGAGCGAACCTTAGTGCCTATATAATAAGGATGCATGCAGCTTTAAGTCCAATAGAATTTTAATTAACTTACAAGCTGTTTAACTGTCTCAGTGATCTAGTGGTCAGTATGTACTGCTGCAGATTCGGTGGTCCTGGGTTTGAATCCCGGCTCGGGTTAAGTTTATTTATTAAGTTTTTCTCTGTAGCAACCTAAAGTAGGGAAGAAGCCGATGATTACGTCCATGCTACGAAGAGCACGAAAAGCTATCGCCTATCGGTACTGCGTCTGTTCTCTCGCTGGTCGGAGAGTGTCAGGAATAGAGAGTGCACTTGTGTCTATCCTGCGCAGATAACTAGTCTTAGTGAGATTGAAAACCGTGGTCGAAATTTCTCAAGACATATATGTTGACTAATTGTACGTAAGCAAGTAACGTTGTAGGTTACAAATAAAACATAAGTCACTTAGGTATATTTTATGTAAGTACAAACAAATACTGTAGAATGCTATATTTTAATAAAAATATGATATATTATTAAGTTAAGATATATAAATAATCTTTAGTTTCTAAGATTATGCACTGTTGTTGGTTTTATTATTATACTAGCAGTACCCGCGGCTTCACCCGCGTATATAAAAATGAGTTTAAGAATAGGTAATGTATGGAAGTCTGCCCGATTTGTTAACATTTATGATTACTGCTCCGCTCCCTTGGGTAGCATGATGATATATAGCCTATAGGCTTCCACAATAAACAGGCTATCTAATGCCAAAAGATTTTTTCAAATCGGATTACTAGTTCCCGATATTACCGCGTTCAAACAAACAAACAAGCAAACTGTTACTTTATAATATAAGTATACATTATATGATGTGAATTATAACTGGGTTGTGTTTATCTATGAAATAGCTTCTTTCCTTATTTTACATTGTTCTTATTTGGTAAAGATTTTATTGTTTTTATCCTATAATTTCATATTTTTCTTTGTATAAACACATTATTAAGCTTGAAAGTCTCGGTTGTAATCATTTGAAAAGGACTTCAATTTAAATGGCCTCATGTCGACCCTTAACAGGAACAGGTTTTTGAGATATGTAATGAGATAAGTAAATAACATTGTGACGTATGGTTAAAACTCTAGGCAAAACTAAGATAATCTGGATAGGATTTTATAATCTTAGGTCATTGTTGACTAGATATTTCTAGTGTTCTAATATAATATATCACAAATTGCTTATTACTATTGAAGAAATTTTAAAGAAGTTCTATTTATAGTTTCGGGCTTAACACACCATGCTTTACTCGTCCTGAAAAAAAAATACAAAAATTATTATGTGCCTTAGATCTATATAATATTAAAACAAAGTCGGGTTTCCTACAACACATAACTCGAGAACTGCTAGACCGATTTTCATGGTTTTTGATTTGTTGGATTTGTCTCCACCCCGAATTGCAGAATAACCATTAAAACTTCAGAAAAACTCACGAAAAAAATATTAAATTTTATATGGCTAACGCTGGCTGATAACTATTTATATCTATTTAAAACGTGTCCAGGTACGTACGAAGCCAGTGTGAGCCGCTAGTTGAAAATAAAATTAATAAAGGCCACGTCAGAGTTGCACTGATTGCGAGTGATTAAACAGTATTTTTATACTAATTTTATTATTGTTTTTTCAGTGGTCTAGTGGCTAGCGTGTACAGATACAGAGATCCTAGGTTCGAATCCCGGATCGGCCCAAGTGTGGTTATTGGGTTTTTGTTAACATGTTATCAGTAATATTTTGGAGTTGGGAAGTTGGCGACGCGTCATCCCCGTGGATTCTGATCCACGTAAAACCGTCAATGTTAGTCCAAAAATACTTTAACATTTTTTTAATCTATTATATATTTTTTGTATAATTTTTATATGAATGTATACATATCGGACTCTATCAAATAAAAACAATTGAAGAACATACGTACTTTAGAAATTGCTTCAAAGAATACCAACTACAGGGAGACCAGGTCTTAGGATGCTTGTTAAAATCATGTCTAAGGGCCATAATATTCTGTTGACTTTTGCATTGATTGTATGGAGGACCGTCGTGTCTCATGCCGAGGCTGAAATGTAAAAAAAATAAACATCTTATATTAAATACTAAAAACTTGGATTTATTTATTGTTTGTTATGTAACTTGTTCAATTAAATACTTTTTATTCATACTTCCATACTAATATTATAAATGTGAAAGTGTATTTGTTTGTTTGTTTGTCCTTTTTTCGTGTCGAATCGGAATGACGTATTGGCGTGATTTTTTGGGTGAAGATATTTGGAAGACTGGAGAGTGACATAGGCTACTTTTTACCGCGGGATATTATCTCATTCTCACGGGAAAACACGTTATAATACAACTCAAAAAAATATTTATAATCAGAATTACTTGAAACTTGGTATTAATGCTCTTCAATACAATTAAACAAATATGTGTTTTAGCATTTTTTTAAATTCATCCTATAAGGGGTTTAATAGGGCATAAAGGTTTGTATGAATCCTTTTTTTAGATTTTTTTGTAGTGTTAGCGCGAGCGAAGCCGCGGGTTCTGCTAGTTAGGTTATAAAACTCATGTACACATAGTCATATAGTTCAATTTTATGATATATCTTTAGTTATAAAACTAGTGTTAACTCAGTGGTCGAAATTTGACCATAATAATTTTTTATTGATAATACTAAAACTCGTCAATAGGTACTAAATAAATAAATAGTTGGGACATTAACATACAGCACCATCTAGTTCCATGGTAAGCTACGAGGCCTGAATGAAAAAAAAAGAAAATTGGTTTATTAACAGAGGAGAAAGAGGTACTGAACTCTTTTGTCTTTACCTATTTATAATATATAGATATTACCTAAAATATTTCATTAATGTTATAAGATCTTAATATAACGCCTGTAAGATTTTGATAGCATATGCGCATATTCATAAAAAATAAATAGTAAAACTCGTAGAGTTAGATGGGTAAGAGTGCACTGATATTATCATGTCACTTGTGACATGATAATATCATTGCGCTCTTAATTTTAAAAAACTTGCGATATTTCTATGAAAACTAAGTATCTAAATCTATATCTATAAATGACGACGCGTTTGGCTCAGTTTGTAGTGATCCTATTTGCTGTTCCAGCGGTCGCGGGTTCGAAACCACTAGGCGCATTCATTTGTGTGATAAGCACGAATGCTTTACTCCAGTCATAGGTGTTTATATTTATAATATATATAACGTATGTATTTAAAGTTATATCTATATGTGTAGTGTATCAACTTATTATAAATGCATTTCCCAACATTAAAAAAACTATGTAAAACATAGTAAAATTATGAGAAATTATAAGATAATTATGGATAAAAAGTTACCTATGTCCTATCTCATGGGCTAGTAAAAATCCAGAAAGTTTAGGATCCCACTCTACAATCGCGCAGCTTTTTTTGACGTTGCAAATACCTTTCGTGTAACCGCGACCTGAAATAATATAAAATTTATTTTAAATTAAATACAATGAATAAAGTGCAATTAGGTTTTTCTTTTTTTTTTATACCACGTCGGTGGCAATCAGGCATGCGACCCGCCTGTTGGTAAGCGGTTACCGCAGCCAATGGACGCTTGCAACACCAGGGGCATCACATGCGCGTTGCCGACCCTTTAGGAACCTATTTACTCTCCTTTTGAAGGACTCCGTACTGTAGCCGTCTGGTATTGTAATCTGCTATTAATAATATTAGATTTTTTACACGATACTTTCAATAACGGTCCAAGATTGCATGTTTTGTGCGCTATATAACGAGTATAATAATATAAATTTTAATATTAAAAAAAAATGTTAAAAATCTTATAATAACTTTATATGTAAAATTTTTGTTCTCATTTGTTCATTTTTTTTGTCCTCTTTCTTTTCTCTAACGTTTAAGAGCCGTTGCTTGGCTGATTTTAATGAAATTTATTGTGCACCTAAGTTCTCGTTCTTAGCTATTGTTAGCAATTATAATATAAATGTTATTAGTATGAGAATAGATTAAATGTAGTAATCATTATTATTTAGAGTCAAATGAAATATTTATTTCCTGTCAAGCTTGTAGAGATGGCAGCACCAAAACTGTATTTAGTATGAACTAGCGACTTTACCCTCGCTCTGCTCGCGTTTGTCCTTACTGCTGTTTTGACGCTTAGTATAGATTTCTAAGAGATGAGATATTTTCCCGCAGTAAAAAGTTTCCTATATGTTGACCCGGAAAATCAGCTCTCATCAGTGGTTTTTCCGTAATGCGTCACAGACAGACAGATGGACAAAAAATCATAAACTATACTATATATATATATATATATATTCGGCTTAGTTACAGTTTTATTATATGTATAGATTATGAAATGAATTATGATTCTTAAAATAAAGTCAAAACATTTAACAATGACCCTTTGATTTAAATATGGGAAAGTGGAAAAATTGTAAGATATAAAAACAGGTATTTTGTAAAAGATGCAATGTTAAATACAGGAGTGAATTGAAGTAATACTGAAAGTTAAAGGTGTAATAATATAAATTCTTATACTATGAATTGTGATTGTATTAAAAAAGTGGCAAGTTATGTGAACGTGAAATAAATACTCGTATAGTAAAGTATATATATATATATATATATATATATATATATATATATATATATATATATATAGTATATATAAAGGGTTTCTTATGCCTTTGATTTGAGGTAATTTTTTACACTATAGTGTCGCTGTTATCGAGATCCAGCATAACAAATGTATCTAATCATACATACCTGAATTACTCCTAATTTTTCTTCCATTGTTCACATGAAAGAGATCTAAACCAGTCAACAGCACAGAATAATACCAAGTTTTCTGAGACATTTTCTTTTCACTTTGCCATTCGCAATAACTTTTCAAATACTTCGGTGCATTCTCATCTAAAGCTACTCTTTCACTGTTTCTTAGAAATTTCGTATCGATCAACTTAAATCTAATAGTTTGATTCAAACTTCTATGAATGAAAAACTTTCTAACATCTTCTAAGATTTTTTGTGTCACTGATTTTAGTTTTTTTCTTGTATTTACTCTGTATTCCACTGCTAATTTTTTAGTTAGTGGCTGATCTATGTGCATCATAATTTTTATAGTTATGTCATTATTTTGCTTCGCTAAGAATTTACTTGGTGATCTGTCGGGTTTTGTCATGTTTTTTACCTGAAAGGAGTTAGTGTTATTAACATACAATTATATAAGAAAAGGAGAACACAATGATATAAGAATATTCAGATTTAACTTGTAGGTATAGGAAAAAGTATATATGTACATATGTATGTGTAAGTGGAGAAAATACTTAAAACATTCATATATATTAAAATAAGGTTTATACGTCATATTCTACTAATAAATATTATTATTTATCGTAAGTCATATTGTTATAAATAATATGTGCATATATTATTCCTTATGTGTTTAAGAGGTCATAGTTATCCGTGTACTAAATTAAATCCAAATCTGTCCAGTTATATTAATATTTATAAATATCTGAATGATCTGGAGTTTTTTTTATTTTGCAAAAATAACGTTGTCCAGTAGCCAATGACACTATCTCACATCACTTATTTTTGTATTCATCCCTTTTTTAACGTCCCACTGTTGGGCACGGGCCTTCCTTTAATACGAGGGGGATCAGGCCATAGCCCACCATGCTGGCCAAGTGTGGGTTGGCGGACTTCACATGTCTTTCGAATACATGCTAGGTTCTCTCAGACATGCAGGTTTTCTCACGATGTTTTCCTCCAACGTAAGACGAGTGAAGCTATTAACAAGAAAATTGAATTGTATTGGACTAAACTTACTCGTATGCGTCTGTCTTTAAATTACATTTTGTCAGGAATGTCTACTTTACTTAAAAAAAAAACTAAATAACGTTATAAACATCCTGACGAAAATAAATAATACTATATTTACAAGAATAAAAATTTTCACTTTACAGTATATCATTTGGTTTTTACAGCTAAGAAGCTAATGAAAAATGTGAGAGCATACATATTATGTATATTCAAAGTTATCGACGTAAATATAATTAAAATTAAGCTCAGCCAAGCTTTGAGAAGAGAGCTTTTTTATTTGAGTAAGTCTAACACCCGCAGACATACGTCCGTGCCTTTTTTTGAGCATTTTTATGTTCTGTTGTTATTTTTATTTTATTTTATTTCAGATAGATTCGGGAGTGTACAATTTTAGAATCAAAAGATTTTGCGAACAAAAAAGAAAAGCTGAACCAAACTATGGGGTCGGGTGGACTTTAAGAGTACACTCAAACAGAATTTGGAGAAGGGAGCTTAGTATCTATTAATAAAGTAATACAAAATCAAGACATACACCGTCGCGCCCAAGCGTCGGTAACCAAAGTTGCATATGGAGTCTAAAAATAAACCAATCTGTAAAACACCAGGTTATTTATAAGCTTCTGCTGCCATGCTTAAGACGGATGGCTTGAAAAAGTTTAAAGCAGTTATGAACTATTTGAAGTTAATCTATACTAATATTATAAAGAGGTAAAGTTTGTGAGATTGTGCGTTTGTGATTTGTGACGTTATAGGGGTAATCTCTGGATCTACTAAAGCGATTTAGATGAAATTTGTTAAGAAGATAGTTTGAGATCCTGGAAAGGACATAGGATACTTTTTATCCCAGAAATCATCCCTTAAGAGGGCTAAAATGGGGATGAAAGTTTATATGGAGAATCAAGCTAGCAAGAGTGCTTATGCATTACTTTGTATCCCGACTTTTCCACGGGAGTGAGATATATTTGAAATTGCCTCATAATTTGTGATAATTATTAGGTTGCTAAAGTTGTAAAAACGTGTTGTTATTGTCTGACAAATTATTTAAAATATTATGATATTCTTTTCGTTGCTATCTTCAAAGATAACTATTTTTACTAATTTGTTTTCAAATAGACAAAATATTTATAATTACCGATAACTGATAAAAAGTGTCACTGTGTCAAGTTGATTAATGTGTATTATATATTAATTATAATTATTTAACATATCTTAAAATTGATTACATTATCTGTTTTCAAAAATTAAAAGAATATAAAAAAATTTAGTTTGTTCAAAATTACAAATCTTTCATTTATTCCCTAATCTATACTAATATTATAAAGAGGTAAAGTTTGTGAGATTGTGAGTTTGTGACGTAGGGGATAATCTTTTGATCTACTAATCGATTTAGATGAAATCTGGTTAGAAGATAGTTTAAAACCCTAGGAAGAACATAGGATATTTTTTATCCCGAAAATTATCCCTTAAGGATGTGAAAATGGGGATGAAAGGTTGCATGGGGAATCAAGCTTTCAAGAAATTAATATTAGACAAATCCACAGCGAAGCGGGGCCGGGATTAGCTAGTCATCATACATATAATTGGTAACTGATCACTGTCTGTAAGTACATGGCAGATATTTGAGAAAAACTATTATTAGGGGCCTTTATTAACTCAATAAAATTCAAAAATTCAATTGAAAATTCAAAATATTTTATTCAGCATTAAATTATTACAATTTTTACTGAACATCATGAGTCTACTACCAGGTCGGAAAGAAGCCTCAGACCTGAGAAGAACTCGCGAAAGAAATTCAACGGGACTAATATTGACTTGTTATTTTTTTTAAAGTAACATTATAATTTACAATATTTCTATCAAGTTGAAGTAGCCTGGAGGTGATCATTTCATTCCCAAGGTGTGGCATTTTCTATAAAATCATTTATTGTATAATAGCCTTTAGCACACAAACGTTCTTTAACATTTCTTTTGAATTTGGCGATAGAACCCAAAACAATGATTTCTTAACCAAATTGGGTGTGGTTTTCACGTACGTATTGTGGTAAGCTTCACTTAACATTTAGTTTTATTTGTGTAATTTTAATCGGTTCACAAATAAAAAAAAGTGCGTGTGTGTGCAATTCACATATAGTAAAACACACATTTTGAAGTAACCTACGAGAGAATGAGATGAATATAGAGTATCAGGAGTAGGATAATTATAAGGTTTATTTTTTCACAATATTTATATTTATACTAATACTGCTAATACTATATTCTATATATTATTTATAAGGGATAATGTTTTTAAATGGTTTTAAAAATTTCGCTATTATATTTTATTTATCCAAAGTAAAAAATTTTTAGTCCCTATTCTCTCTCTTTGTGTAGGGAATATGCATGAAAATATAAAAAAATAACAAACATTGCATCATAAAAGGATAAAATTGTAACAAATACTAAAGTTGCTAAAAAATCAAATTAACATGAAAATTAATTAACCCTCGACGTAAAAAAATATGAGTTTAACTTGTGCATCTGTGTGTCTGTCTGTAACATTGTAGCGCCCAAACAGATGTACCAATTGTAATTTAGTTAATGTTTCAAAGGTGACTTGATCGACAGTGTTCTTAGATATAAATCAAGAAAACTATTTATACTATATTAGCTATTTCCAGGCTATCAGCTCTTTTCTAGACGGTAAAATATCCACAGATCTAATCGATTCATAACTAGGTATACCATTATTTCAATAACATTGCAATTGTATGATAACCTAGGCCTCTTATGTGGAGTTTTATCTTAATTTTAATTTAGTAGTTATTTTACTCGTGTATTCGATCTGGAAGCCAAAACAAGATAACCAAAATAATATCCAAAACAATTTAACCAAGAAGGAAAAGATTTCTTTTGAATACAAAGAAAGATAGATACGAAGTCGATTTTTTCATTTTGGCCAAATATTATTTCAGGCGTAGAGTGAGGTGTTCATACAATTATAACAGCTTTAAAATTGAATGACGGAATTCTTATAATAGTCTAGTAAAATTCAGGTTATACTTAAAAATAGTTTTGTGTTGTTCTAAGAATTCGATCATGAGATCGTTAGTTATAATTCAATGTATGCAGTAGCGGCGGACGTACTAAATATATGTAACGATCAAGATATAAAAGCGTAAGTCCGGAGTTTGATTATTGTGTCGTATAAGCGAATTAGGTACGCTGAATAGTAGCCTATGTGCTACTCCAGGTCTTAGTCTATCTTTATACAAAATATCATCAAAATCGGTCAAGCCATTTCAGCTTGATTGAGTAACAAATATGATGATAACTTACAAATTTTCGTATGTATTCTTCTCATAAAGCATTCCGAATATATTTCTTTTATTAATAAGAAAAAAAATGTCTTTGTTTGTTTGTCTGTAAGGGATAATTTTAGAAACAGTTATTGAATGATAAAAATTATTTTACATATAGAAATATGTCTGTCATGGGCTTCTATTCAGCCCTTTTTAACGTCCTACTGCTAGGGGTGGGCCTCCACTCAGTATGAGGGGGATCCGGCCATAGTCCACTACGCTGGCCAAATGTGTCTACTGTCTAAATACTTCTTCACGCTGAAACTGCTACACGAATTTAAATGAAATTTAGTAAATTTAAACAGAGGATATGATCTTGAAAAACATGGCTACTGTTTGTAAAGATCAAAAGACGAAGAAGAAGATCAAAAGATGAATTATAATATTATATAAATATTAAAAAAAAACAATATTTTCGGAACAAGTCATAAAAAGCAACTAGAAACGTGAGCGAAGCAAAGGTAATATTAGTGAAGACATATTTCAAACTGCATACTTATTTCAAAATAATATCGATTATTCACAAAATAATTTACAATCAACATGTTCAAAGTTATCAAACATAATGTATTTTTGTATTTTATGCTATTTTTAGAACAATTACAAAGTTAGTTTATTTATAGATTTTCAACGAAATATCCTTCTGTGACTTAACTTAGTTTTATGAATTACCTCATTGTTTACGTCATTCTACTTCTACAATGTTCGCGGGACAAATTCGATAAGTGTTAAATTATGAAGGAAGATTATTTATATATAATACTAGCTACTCACCCTCACTCCACTTGGTTTCGTCCCTAGTTACTTATTATATAGTTAGATATTTTCCCGTATTAAAAAGTATCCTATATGTTGACTCGGATAACCAGTTATCATCATACCAAACTTCATCAAAATTTGTTCAGTTGTTTTCTCGTAATGCGTTCCCAGACAGACAGACAGACAGACAGACAGACAGACAGACAGACAAATTCTAAAAACTAGAGTTTCGGTCTCTTTATCGATAATAATGACTATTGCAATAAGATTTTCCAAAAAATATTTAATGTTCAGATTCGACTCACTTTGAGTTTTACTATATGTACAGAAGATGTTACGTTTGTTTATTCGTTGTTATTAATACAAAAATAAACTATAAGTAAAATAGTTTAAATAAAACTATCATATATATATTTTTTGCGTGTATTTATTTTGATTTATAGCTCCCGACGTTTCAAATGCTTTACATCAATCATGGTGACGGGAGTACCTCGCGTAAGATAGTCTTATTTAAAATATCAATTATTTGCGTAAATTTATGAAAGTATTAAGTAAAATAGTTGTAATTCATGTAAAACTTTGATATTTTAATGGATTCGTAAAACTTTGACACTGAGTTCGTGTGTTCATGTAAATAATTAATAATGTATCCGAAATATTTTATATACTTAATATATATTTTATTAAATACCTACATTTGCAACATTTTCAATGAAATTATTTGATAATATTTTCTGAGATTTTAATAAATATTTCACAGAAATCTCTCCAGAGACCATGATTTCTCTTGACAGAAAGTCAAAATAAATCCTCGAAAACTATTTTCAAATCTAACAAGAATATGATTTCTCTAAATAAATAAATATAAAATTATATATAACATTTATAACGCTATTTTTAAGTAACAAATAATGTATATATTATCCACAGTAATTTGGCATTCAAATTATATATTTTTTTAATTTTTAAAACAATTTTTATAAAAATCTAAATAAATATATTTTTGATAACCATTATTATAAATATATGATTAATATATAAATAAAAAAAACACAACTAACCTGATTTCCATTGCTCGAATCCAAAATCGCAATCCAGTAGATAATAAAAAGCCAGCACAATTTCATGGCCACACACTGTCAGAGCTTAGGACGCACTAAGCACCGTTTGAACTTCTACGTACGACTGGCGAGAAACCCCGTTTACGATATATCGTGACGTTAGAAAGCCACAGGATGAGCTATAATTTGTTTAATAAATTTAATAATAGCAAATAATGCTTAATTAACTTACTATGGTCTTTATATACATATATGGTTTTTTAGATATTTATTGAAGTATGTTTTTTATAGTTGAATAAAATAATCGGGGTTATAATTACCTGGATACGGATATATGATCAACATTATACTGGTTTGAGATACGGTTACGGATATAAAATTATATCGGATTATCCGATAGTTTCGGATAGTTTGAGTTATGGATATTACATTTTTAAGGAATTGTAAAAGGAAAATACATATAGGTAATTATTTCACTTTATAGTAGGTTATTAAATTTTGGTACAACAATATGACTGACTAATAAGCTAAGCAAAAGAAATAACAAAAAGTATCTAAACAATGCAAAGACGCTGGTTCGGCTGGATGAAAACCTCTTATAACGTGTCTCATTTCGACTCCGCCCCTATCCGAAATTATACTATATATTAATATTATAATATTAATATGGTATATACTATAATATTAATATGGAGCTAATAATTAATCTGATTAGCATTTTTTATATTTGTTATCTTTATTGTTATCTTTGATTTTAAATAATCTATAAGTATTTATATTTTAAAAATATTATAATATGTAAGATAACATGTAAACGCCGTCTGCATGACCAATTTAGCTCAAACATATCTGTGATATGAAATACTATTGTAACGGTTATATACTTTCAATTTCAATTTAAACGTTTGCGGTCTGATTCAAATTGTCTAGAGTAGGTAACCACTAACCATATTAATACAATACAATCTGTTCAGATTGCTAGCAAATCAAACACTTGTTATTTAGCTGCGTTTGAGAAAAAAAAATTGTCTAATTTTCGATATTTTGTCATATATGTTTAGTTACATTAACTGCAGTTTATTCCGTAACATATTAAAATATTTGTTTATATATTTGTTTTTTACTGACCTATCCTTAATTCGCTCAGGTTTGCTCTAGGTGTTTTTTGCAAGTAAAAAAATCATTCTTTCTCTATATATTATATATTATGTATAAATTCATCCTTTGTCAAACAAACAGCGCCACTTTGGCAATTTTTATTACTTGCAGTAGCCTAGGTGTTATTTCAGACCCATCTGTGTACGAAGCCGCTTAGTGGTTTCAGCGAGAAGGAGTAACAAGCATATGTACATCTATACTAATATTATAAAGAGGTAAAGTTTGTGATCTTGTGAGTTTGTGGGTTTGTGAGTTTGTGAGTTTGTGACGTTGTAGGGGGTAATCTCTGGATCTACTGAACCTATTTTCAAAATTCTTTTACTAATAGGAAGCCACGTTCTTTCTGAGTGTCATAGGCTATATATCAACCCGAAGAATGAAAAGGCTTTTTCGTGGCAGTCGGATTTGCAAAGTAAGTCGGAGAAAAAACGGTCGAACGAAAACGTTTCTTACGAACGCTGCCTTAACGATGAGAGATACATGATTATGTTCTAGGGAAAAGTTGTAGAGCTTAATAATGCCTACAAAAAAGTCAGCGACAGCATATGTCTAACTTTTATATTTAAGTCACAAAAAGTAGTTTTTTATATTAAAAAAAATATTTAAATCGGTAGGTCATGTTTATTGGTCATATTATCAACAATTATGAATTCTTATCAAAATAAATAAATTTATCGTCTAAAATGTTTAAAACAAAAGACTTTTCCCTTTTACTGCATATAATTTGGACAATGGGTTAAAGAGATAATACAAATTTGCATGGGGGTACCTTATATCCCTGGCCAACATCTTAGATACTTTTCATCCCGGAAAATTAAATAGTTTCCGTGGGATAGTTAAAACACTATAACAACTTATACAGCTTAGTACACAAAAACTACTGATTGGATTTTAATAAAACTTTAAAATAATATAGTTCATACATGACAATAACAAATCGGCTACTTAAAGGGTTCCCGTGGGACAGTCAAAAAACTATAGTAACTTATACAGCTTAGTACACAAAAACTACTCATTGGATTTTGATGAAACTTTACAATAATATAGGTCATACATCAGAATAACAAATAGATCACTTTTTATCCAGGAAAAATATACAGTTCCCGTGGGATAGTTGTTTTCGTTTATTTGTAACGTATTATGTACACAACATAGACCCCAAAACAATAGTTATTAAAAAAAATGTCTGTTTGTCTGTTTGCCTATTTGTCTATTTGTCTGTTTTTGTATGCGCGTTTCACGGGAAGATACAATAACTGGTTTTATCGAGTCCTCCCTAGAAACCTACCGCTGGCTTAACCTTAAGACATACATACATCAAAACAATATACTAAAAAATTGTAGGCCTTGAAAAGTCCTACAGGAAAGTTCTAAATAGTATATGTATATCTCCTAAGCAATATCTATTCTTATCTATACCTATAATAAAACTAACTTAGTCAAATCGATGTGCACGTTTTACGCAAAAAGTACTGAACGCATTTTAACTAAATTTTGTATAGTGATAAATTAGTACTCGGATCAACATTTAGGATACCTTTTACGACAGGCAAATTATTCATTCCCACGGGAAAACTCAATAACTGGTTCTATCAAATCGTCCTTAGAAATTTATATGGCTAACGCTAGCTCAACCTTAAGAGATAGATGAAAACATTGTGCAAGAAAATTGTAAGTCTTAAAAAGGTCTATAGAAAAGTTGTACTTATTATATGTCTATCTCCTAAGGTACACTCGCTATAACTATTTTCATTATTATATATTACTTTTTTATTATACATTATTTATTCTATACGTAATAAAACTGTAGAGGTTAGAAAAAAATGCTAAAAACCGAGTCAGTTCTCTTCTTACATCCCGAAAGAAGAGAAATAGAACAAATCCAGTTTTTTTTCAATTTTTTTGTTTCTCTGTCTGTTTGTCTGTTTGTACGGGCTAATCTCCGAAACTATTGAAATGATTTAAATGAAATTTTGCATGGTAGTACCTTATATCTCCGGTCAACATCTAAGATACTTTTCATTCCAGAAAATTAAAGAGTTTATACAGTTTAGTACACAACAACTTATGCACCTAATTTAGTAAAATTTCGCATGCTGATACCTTATATTGCCGGTCAAACAATAGGTTACTTTTCATCCCAGAAAAATGAACGGTTCCCGTGGGATAGATCTGTTTGTGCTTTTCTAGAGGTGAACCCGAGCGAAGCGAGGGTGAGCCGCTAGTATATAAATAAATTTATTAGTGTAAATTTTATTTTACTTTGTTTACAATTCTAACACTCCTGCACAAAATAACGTAGATCTAACAGATCTCCATTGCTGAGTGAGGAATCAATAAACATAACATTTCTTAGAAGTTTAGTTAATATTAATCTATTTATGTACTGAAAAAAACCAGATTAACGGCTGGCCCTATGCAATAAAAAAAGAATCATCGAAGTCGGATTACACTGTAAAAAGTTATGCGTGGTCAAACACAAAAAAAATACGGTTTGAATAATTGAGAACCTCCTATTTTTTCGTCGTAAATGAAAGCAACTTGACAAGCTGTGTTTTTTGCAAAATTGAAAAATATATTTGTTACGATACTATAAATATTTACGTTAAATTGGAGTAGAACTCACGATCTCCGGTTTATTAATTATTTAATTAGAACATTTTATATTTATTTAAAGTATACATTATTGATAATGAATATGTTTTAAGCTTATTCATTTAATTATATCTATATTATCTTTGAGATATTTTAATAAGTAATAAACTAGTTTTACAACGAAGTTTCTATCGTGCGATATATTGTTAAAAATTTTTTTTTTAATCTGAACCTCCTCCGTCTTATTGAGCATCCCAGGGTCGCTTACGCATTGAACCACGATGCCCCGACGGCTGCCTGCCACAACAACCTAGAGGTTGCTCCTAGAGAAGTACAAAGAGCAACCCTCAACCACAATATCCCTGCTGCCTGCCACAACAACCAAGAAGCAACCCGCATAGTACACCACCCACCGAAGTGGACACCTTACAGTTGACAACCAATCGTACAGGGTGGCACACTGGGATCTCTATGCAAAGTACAAACTTTAAACTCTTTGTAACATTGTAAAACAAACTGACTTGGTATAATGATAGTTTAAAGTTTCTATTTGTAAAACAGGAAACAGGATTTTAATTTTTTTTTCTTATTTACAATAATTTTAATCTTTATTATTATAATTCTTTTATACACACTTGCAAAGTCGTTTATGCCTACGAAGTCGAAGAATAAAATTACATTTTATAAGGAAGAAACTTATCATTACTTATTGTCATACATAAAAAAACCGTTGCAGAAGCAAATTCAAAATTCAAGTTCAAAATTATAGTAATGTGTCTTTGCCTTTAGATTTGCATGTAGATTGATTTTGTTCACGAAAGCATCTCTTATTGAGGATAGTATTTTTAACATATAACTTTTAACTTCCTCTTTTCTTTTAATTCTCAAACATACCCATGGGATGATAATAAGGTCCATCATTTCTGGTGCCACCAGTTAGCACCACTGGCGAGTGAGGGCCAATCGCTGTTGTATAAAAGTATTTATTAGTGTGGAGGCCCAATTAATATAATAATAATAATTGTTAACCCGAAATCCGTCTATCAGGATTTTAAATAATTAATCATAACCAAATAAATAAAATATTGACTTTTTCTAAATACTCTTCTTTTAAACCAATAAGATTTATTGTGTTGTACCGTGTCTGCCATAATTAATCAGGAATGGCACAATATTTACAATAATTATCAATATTAGTGAAAACCCGCGTTAAAAAGCTCGAAAACAGTGCACATTCAGTGTCATTTGTCATTTCTAGAGACCTCACTCTACACTAGCGCCCTCTCACAGCGAATTCAGGTGGGCTAGTCTCG